TATATATATATATATATATATATATATATTATAATTTATTATAAATTTCAGTTATATAATAAATATTACACGTTCTAAATATTTATTTTTTTAAAAATTATTATATTAATAATACATAAAAGTTAAACTTAAAATAATGTAAAAATATATATATTTCTCTGTTTTTAAATCACTCGCCTTTTCCTTTTGCCTTTTGTCTAACAATAATGTATGTTCCCAAAGCTTTTTCCCATGCTTTAACACTTTCTTCTTCATCTCATCTCAGCTTTCTCTAACGTCTTTCACCTTTCACTTTTCCCTTCATGTGCACGCACTCTGGCATATCAAGGTAACCTCAGTGTCAGTACTCTTCATTTTCCTCACACTTGTTCTTCGCTCCAACGGTATCTCAGTTGGAGATGTTCCCTTTGGCTGTGTTGCTTTCCCTTGCGTGCAATTTTCTTGTTGCACCTGTGAGCTCTGTGACCGATGAAGGCTCTGTACTTCTAACACTGAAGAAGTCCATCATCACAGACCCAGAAGGGTCCATGAGTAACTGGAACTCTTCTGATGACACCCCATGTTCATGGAATGGGATCACATGCAAGGACCAAAGTGTTGTCTCCATTAGTCTCCCAAAGAGGAAGCTTTATGGGGTTCTTCCCTCTCAGCTAGGGTCTCTTTCCCACCTCCGACATCTGAATTTGAGGAACAACTACCTCTTTGGCAACTTGCCTGTTGGGCTCTTTGAAGCACAGGGACTACAAAGTTTGGTGCTTTATGGCAATTCCTTTTCTGGGTCTATTCCAAATGAGATTGGGAAGCTCAGGTACCTTCAAACTCTTGATTTGTCACAGAATTTCTTCAATGGGTCTTTACCTGCTAAAATAGTCCAATGCAAGAAGCTCAGAGCACTTGTTCTTAGTCATAACAATTTCACAGGTTATCTACCAGATGGGTTTGGTGGTGGGTTGTCTTCTCTGGAGAAACTTGACCTTTCTTTCAACCAATTCGTTGGTTCAATTCCTAGTGACATGGGAAATCTGTCAAGCCTGCAAGGCACTGTTGATTTGTCTCATAATCATTTTAGTGGTTCGATCCCAGCTAGTCTTGGTAATCTGCCTGAGAAGGTTTACATTGATCTAACTTTCAACAATTTAAGTGGTCCAATACCTCAAACTGGTGCTTTGATGAATAGAGGACCAACTGCTTTTATTGGCAATTCTGGTCTTTGTGGCCCCCCTTTGAAGAATATGTGTGCCCCAGATACTCATGGTGCTAGTTCACCTTCCTCTTTTCCATTTTTGCCTGATAATTACCCACCTCAGGATAGTGATGATGGTTTTGGGAAAAGTGGGAAAAGTAAAAGGCTAAGTAAGGGTGCTGTTGTTGGCATCGTTGTTGGGGATGTAGTTGGAATTTGCCTTTTGGGTTTGTTGTTCTCTTATTGCTACTCAAGGGTGTGTGGTTTTACTCAGGATCAGGAGGAAAAAGGTTTTGACAAGGGAGGGAAGCTGAGGAAGGAATGCTTATGCTTTAGGAAGGATGAATCTGAGACCCTATCTGATCATGTTGAGCAGTATGATCTTGTTCCATTAGATGCTCAAGTGGCATTTGATTTGGATGAACTTCTTAAGGCTTCAGCTTTTGTTCTGGGAAAGAG